AGAATAAAATATTTTGGGGAATATTAAAAGAGGCAGAATATTCTATTTCTCCAAAGGAGAAATGGAGAAATGTGCTCTTAAAGGCAGAAAGCAGTCCCAGTCCTCCTGCTATAGGAAAACTGAAGCTGCCTCAAGCAGAGCCCTGAAGTCTTTAGAGGCAGATATTTTGCGCCCATTAAGAAATCCAGGCCAGCTTATTCTTAAACAAAATGCCTTCAGCCCAGCTCCCCCAGAAGGCTGGAGCTGATGGGGTTAAGAATTTGTATCCCCCTTCCAAATTCCAAGGACAGGATATGACCTTTAGGACATAATAAGATTAAATCACCACCATTTAAATAGTAAAAGACACAAGTCTCACTACATTTCACAACCCCCTGGACCATCTCAATCACCAAATCCCAGAACTCTATAAAAACCCATCCACTCACTCAGCTATTTTGTCAGCCACCCCAGAAACATGCGGCTGTCACTGAAGTTTCTGGAAACCAAATAGAGACCTTCTTTCCAACCAGCCAGCCTCCATTTTATTTCCAGGGTCTTTCTCACTGTTTGGAATCAGACTGGATTTTTCTTCCTACACAGAAAACCCTACACCATTTCAGACAAATGGTTATCCAACATCTTCTTTAAAACTTCCAGTGTTGGAGCACCCACAAGGTCTTGAGGCAAGTTGTTCCATTGATTAATTGTTCTAAGTGTTGGAAAATTTCTCCTTAATTTTAGGTTGCTTCTCTCCTTGATTAGTTTCCATCCATTGCTTCTTGTCCAGCCCTTAGTATAAGGAGGGAATGACTAAACTCACCCAAGCCTTCTGTCCACTCAGAATTACACTATCCTACCTCTTGTTTTCTTCATATCCCAAACTACAGGTTGCCCACATCACAATTACCAACATTACCAAAACAAATAAAAAACTGGAAAGAATTAGAAACAAAGACTCCATTTGTTATTCCAGATGAGGAGTTTCATATGCCACCCTAGTCTACAAATAGTTTTGCCAATATCTTCAGACTCACTTGGTTCTCACTCTCATAGGCTGGGTCCATACAAACATTAAACCATAACACGGCTTGTTTGGTTTGGGCTTGATGTGTTGTGTGAACACAATCATGGTAGTTTGTAAATCCTTGGCTTAGCATACTGTGGAAAAATAACCGGTGATAAATTTACAAAGGAGTTATAAATAAACCCACAGTAATCTTCACTTACATAAACAACATAAGGAGGTGAAGATGTTCATCAAAGTGAGGATCCCCCTCTCCTCTTCCTTATGTATATTTGAATTGATAAGTTGAAATGAACCATTGTTCTCATTTTAAACAATACTTATGGGACTCTGCATTTCATGGACATCATTTAGACAGGACAAAAGAGCTATTGCAGAGCTGTAGGCTGATTTTGTCAGGAAACATATCTTGTCTCTTCAGTAAGCCTCACAGGACAGAAGAGACCTATGCTACATTTCCCACAAAGTAGATACTACTGTATTATCTCTTTTAGCCGCAATCAGGCTGAGAAGTGGGAGAAGTGTATTACTATTCTATATTTTCTGCTCAGGCAGATTTGCTTTCCTTGTGGCATAATTTCCATGCTACATACACTATCCCAGGGGTTTCAGGCTGAGGAAACTGTTCATTGAAAAAAAACCAACAACCCCAGAATCTTGGACCAAAAGGCAAACCTCTAGCAGCTGCAATTTGATGTCTTGAAGTGAACTTTTTTTTTGCATTCTAAATGTCATTAGTGTCTTGCAGAACCTCATTGCATTCTCATGGCATCCTGGGCTCTGTTGCACACTTTTGAAAAACCTAGCAGCCTATTTTTTTATTTATTTATATCCTGCCTTTATGATTTTTACAAATAACTCAAGGCAGGGAACATATAACCAAACCCCTTTCCTCATATGTTCCCCACAGCAACAGCTTTCTGAGGCAAGTTGGGAGTGACTGGCCCAAGGTCACCCAGCCAGCTTTCCTGCTAAGGCAGGACTTGAACTCATGGCCTCCCGCTTTCTACCCTGGTGCCTTAATCTCTAGATCAAACTGTCTATCTAGCTAGTATAAGAGGTACCATAATTATTTACTTTTGCTTATTTATTTTAGTAGGCTTATATATGCTGCCCTAGACATGCTCTCCAGACTAAAACGCAACAGCATAAATATAATGTTACAATAAAATAGTATAGTCATTAACATCCCATGTTCTGAAGAGCAACCAGGGAAATTAAATAAATAAGACAATTAAACCAAAATACAGTGCTCAATATGATGTTTAGAAGCCACTAAGTTCATTCAGCCTTGCTTTGGCCAGGCATCTTGACTGAACAACATAATGAGCATTTTCTGTGGCAGGAATATTGTTTGTGCTCCCTCTCCAACACATGTACACAATCTGGGTTAGTTGTAACAGAATTGTTAGTTGTAACCAAGGCTTAGCTTTGCTTTCATTACTGATTACTTGTTGAGCTGGGCTGTAACTCAGTAACCATTCTGAAAAAAGCTAACCTGAAGCCGTTTCTAACAACAAAGCTTTATTTTTTCTGCTGGCAATGCTATAAAAGTGAGCCTTGCAAAGGGCAGCGTAATTCCCATCCTTCGTCCTCTGGGCTCTTCACTTGCCAGGTCAAAGAAGTTTTGCAAGATGGTGAGTCTTACTTGGACTGCTAAGCTTCCCTGGAGATAGAAGGGATCTTTGATTTATTTTTTTGTAGTTTTCTAGTTGTGATCTCTCTCTCTCTCTCTCTCTCTCTCTCTCTCTCCGCGCGCAATATGTAATGCAAGTCTTTTCTGTGGAAATCCAGGTTTGCCCTGAAATAAATCTTAAAAAATATAATGCATAAAAAAGAGAGAAGAATAAACATTTCATAACATCGAAGGGGAATAACTTTCACTAACTTGAGCAGATCTGGATCTAAGGTTGTCTATTCCCAGAATTCCCAGGAAGTTGCTAGAAATTTTGGGAAATTCACATATTTGAAAGATGTTCAGGATGGAGAGGTTGAAGTTGCTGGGGGTGGGGCGGGGTATTTTTCTTTTCCAGCTTATTCTATTTCTTTTTAAAATTTTGCTTAGTTTTTGTTCCAATACAGGTTATATCAACACTATATTTTTGAAAGCACTTTGGGTGACCTGTGGTTACTTAATCACAATGCCCCAAAACAGATTTTGGTAACCCACCAGGCATGTCCTCGATTCAAAGAAGAGCATTTTGGTGGGGAAACAGAGTACTAGACTTGCAGGAGGTGGAGTCAAACCACCACCAGCCTTCAAATTCACTCATGATCTGAAACTGAATCATCATTTCAACAAGGGCTTTCTAAATACAGGGGTCATTTCCAGCTTAAGAAATATGGAATAAAACTGTTGTCTGTAACACTCCTATGTGCTAGGATTTCAGTAGCTTTACTATGCTTGGGGTTTATGTTTGTGTGTGTGTGTGTGTGTGTGTGTGTGTGTGTGTGTAAGAAAATGTTTTTTGAAGTTTGGTAAGGACAAACTTGAAGGATGTAAACTGAAAGGCAAGGTATAAATCTAATGCAAATAAATGTATAAGAAAATGTGCATAAAGTTACCCTTCTTGGAGAAGAAAAAGACGACAGTGAAAAATTTTAAAATATAAAGTAACATATCTAAAATCGTGATGGTGAACCTATGGCACAAGGAGCTGTATTTGCTGGAACGCCAGCCTTCAGTTCTGATGCACATCTGTGCGCCAGCCAGCTGATTTTCCACCCTTCCGGAGGGCTGGGGGGAGGCTGTTTTCAGCTTCCTCAGCCTTCAGGAAAGCCTCTGAGGCTGGGAAGGGCGAAAAACGGTCCCAATGGGCCAACCGGACGTTCGGAAATGAGGCCATTTTTGCCATCCCCAGGCTTCAGGAAAGTCTCTGAAGTCTGAGGAGGGGTCGTGCACACATGCTCATGGGGGGGGGCATGCACGCATGCGCAGGTGGGTGGGGAGGATTGAATTGGTGTGGGCATGTGTGCGCAATTTTGGCACGCCATAAGAAACAGGTTCGCCATCCACTGATCCAAAAGCAGCCCCCTGGCTTCCTTCCGATGACATGTTATTTGACACACGGTACTGACTTTGCAGAGGTCTACCTGCAGACCTTGGGCAAAAATATTCCTTCAATTTTTCTGTTGGTCTAATTAATTAGCTACAGCAGAGGATAAATTAAAGGAAGATACATTTTGACCAGTTCTAGGAGGTTTAGCAAAAGGTCATTTTATCCCAGGTAGTTTTCTACCACTCCTTTGTCTGCATCTCTTGGAAACCTGAGAGAGGAGACTGTTCTGTCCTTCTAACTATAAACTTTGAACCTGTCTGAGTACAGAATATTTCCCAGATAGTGTGCCAGGACTAAACTATTGGACGGGAATAGAATGTGTGCCAGAATATCCAAGCCAAGTAGCAGGGCCAGGAAGATCTCAGGAAATGTGTAATAACCTCCCTTGCCTAGCAAATTATTATGATAACCAGTGTGCTTGGCCTACAGACTCTAGGAATGCTTCACTGCTTAGAAGATTAATCATCCATCATTTTGGGGTAGCTCACCACATTCAGCAGTTGCATCACTCTATTCTGTACTCTATTTCTGACCCCAGGGAGCTTCTACACTGATAAGGGATTTTGCTTGTTTTTTCCTCAGCGTGAATGCATTTCTATCCATGTCGGCCAGGCTGGTGTGCAGATTGGCAATGCTTGTTGGGAACTGTACTGTCTGGAGCATGGAATTCAGCCAGATGGGCAGATGCCCAGTGACAAAACTATTGGAGGGGGAGATGACTCCTTTAATACCTTCTTCAGTGAGACTGGGGCTGGGAAACATGTGCCTCGAGCTGTTTTTGTGGATCTAGAGCCTACCGTGATTGGTGAGTGGTCCCTATTAGGAGGGAAACCTGTTTCAGTCATTCTGAGGTAAATCTGTGTGATTTTGTCTGGGTACTTTTCAGAATCCACACCATTGGATTTTGTGGTATAGATATAATAAATTAAAATTAGCTATTGTATGCCCCCAAATTTCAGCACAATTTTTTTTTTGGGGGGGGTGTCTTTTAATGATGCTGTAATCTCTTGCTGAGTGTTTACTGGCCGGACGCCCTTCCTGTTGCCAATGCTCATTGTGCCCAGAGAGAGAAATATCTGCCACTACTTAGGATTGAACTCACACCCTCCTGATTGTGAAGCCAGAGCTCCACCTCTAGGCCACTGCACCATTCCCCCAAATTTCTGTACAATGACAGCGGTTTATTGGATAGTTAAGAACTCCATGTCTTCTAAAAAGTTTCTCAAAGCTTCACCAGTACCATACTTCTAGCAACCATAATAAGCCTTGATCTCTCAAGGAAAGCAGCTAAAAATATTACAGATAAATAAAAAGAAGTATGCAAATTTCAGAACTCGAGAAGAGTGTTGATTAAAATGGGAATGATCTGATCTATTCTGTACCTTGAATTCTAGATGAGGTTCGGACCGGCACATACCGTCAACTCTTCCACCCAGAACAGCTGATAACCGGAAAGGAAGATGCTGCCAATAACTATGCTCGTGGTCACTATACTATTGGCAAAGAAATAATTGATTTGGTGTTGGACAGGATCCGAAAGCTGGTAATTGAAACTGATGATAAGGAAAGCTGTTGGTAGGATTGGGTTGGCTTTGTCCTCAAGAATATAGAAGGGGTCCCGGTTAATTTACAGGAGTGGAGATTATGCATGGCCAAAAGTCTTGGATATGCTTCAGGCCACTCCACCTAATTTCCTAAACCCAACTTACTGTTCCCATTTGTCTCCCCCCCCCCCATTTCTCCAGGCAGACCAATGCACAGGATTGCAGGGATTTCTCATCTTTCACAGTTTTGGAGGAGGCACCGGATCAGGTTTTACTTCCTTGTTGATGGAGAGGCTCTCTGTGGATTATGGCAAGAAGTCCAAACTGGAGTTTGCTATCTATCCGGCCCCTCAAGTGTCCACAGCAGTGGTGGAGCCCTACAATTCAATCCTCACCACACATACCACTCTTGAGCACTCAGACTGTGCTTTTATGGTAGACAATGAAGCCATCTATGATATCTGCCGTAGAAACCTGGACATTGAACGCCCCACTTACACAAATCTGAATAGGCTGATTGGCCAGATTGTGTCCTCCATCACTGCCTCTCTGCGCTTTGATGGGGCTCTGAATGTAGACCTGACAGAGTTCCAGACCAATCTAGTGCCCTACCCTCGTATCCATTTCCCTCTGGCTACCTATGCTCCGGTCATCTCTGCGGAGAAGGCCTATCACGAGCAGCTTTCTGTGTCTGAGATTACCAATGCTTGCTTTGAGCCTGCTAACCAGATGGTGAAGTGTGACCCCCGCCATGGCAAATACATGGCCTGCTGCCTTT